CTGATGGGAGGTTGTGGATTTAAAAGAACTGAACTAAGAAGTTCTTCCTCTCCCGCCTTATTTTATAGACCTTTCTCTTACAAATATATTTAGTAAATCAAACAACTTTATGGAAGGTTGAACAACAAAAAAAAAACAATTAACAACCCATTATTTTGCAAAGCTATGTAAAAAATGTTTAGGTAAGGTATTGGTTGAGATAAAAAAGACAGTGTCACGAGCGAGGTTTGAACGCACAACCTTCGGCTAAATACGCCTCTGCTCTACCTCTTGAGCTATCGTCACTTCGATCCACTCGGATATATTTATATATCGTGGTCCGATTGACCAAATAACATCTTTCAATTAATTAATCTTTCGATTAATTTTTTTATCTAAAGTTTTATTATTTAGAAAACTTTGTTACGTAGTTCGATTAGGTTTCGTGGTCCGATTGACCACATAAAAACTTTTCAATTAATTAATCTTTAAGTAAGGTATTGGTTGAGATAAAAAAAGTCAATGTCACGAGCGGGATTCGAACCCACGACCTTCGGCTAAATATGCTTGGTGTCCGAGTGGATCAAAGCCACAATAGTTCAAGTGGTGGAGCAGCGGCGTATTTAGCCGAAGGTCATGGGTTCGAATCCCGCTCGTGACATTGACTTTTTTTATCTCAACCAATACCTTACTTAAAGATTAATTAATTGAAAAGTATTTATGTGGTCAATCGGACCACGAAACCTAATCGAACTGCGTAACAAAGTTTTCTAAATAAAAAAACTTTTATTCTGATGATAAAAAGTAATATTATAATTAGTCGTATGTTTGTAATTGTACGGTTGGCTGGATCGGCTGTGAAGCTTTCACGTATCAAGTGGTCTGTAGGTGACGATTCAAATGTAAAAGTATGATTAAAAGTATGATTCAAAGAGTAGGGATCATACTATCATCATAGAAATAGGTCATGTGAGGCTGGCACACGGATAGTTACTTACCGGCCAAAAGCCGGCATGTACAGGAAGATTGCTCGATGTGTAATTTCAATTATAACATTTTATATTTTGTTCACTTGCTTTTTACCCTTTGTTATTTCATTATTCTAAATTTGTTATAATGGACGTTGATCCGCAAAACTCTCTCCCACGTGAGCAGGAATCGTTATTTAGAGATTTAAAAAAATATTTTTGGTGTATTAATTTTATTGTTGGTTGACATAAAAAAAATGTTCTACGAAGAATATTCAATTTTTGTTCGATTTAAAAAAGATAAATTAACAAAATACTGCTATTTTTGCATTTTTTGACAAACATTCTCTAAGCAAAGTAGGTCAAAAAATGGTCAAAACTTGGATTTGACCTTATTCCCGTGAGTCTAGCGATATAAAACACTTTTGCGGAAATCGGTATAAATTAATTTTTGACTGATAATTTCGACGACCTTTCTGACTGCCTGACATTCCCAGTGCAAGGCTATAACATCATTTTTCACAAAGGCTAGTGGATCGATTTCCATGGTTGATAATTAATTTTAAAAAAATCGTCAAATGCATTTTATAACTGTATCAAATATTAAAATCGGACTATCATTTCCATTTAAAAAACAAGGTTAATTTCTGACAAATAATTTTATTATTTTGTGTATTTTCTTACAGAATTATTTGATGTATTGTAATGGGATAAGACAATCTACATTCCTCTTCTTTCAAATGGTATGTTTAACTTTTTTCAATTAATTAATCTTTATTTAAGGTATTGGTTGAAATGAAAAAGTTAGTGTCACGAGCGGGATTCGAACACACGACCTTCGGCCGAGCTATCGTGACTTCGATCCACACCACTTGAAAAATGGCAAAAAAGAGGGAAAATTCGAAAGATAAGAAAGATTGAAATGGGGAGTTGGTGTCCGAGTGGATTGAAGTGTAGCTTCAACGATAGCTCAAGTGCCCTATATAGCCGAAAGTCGTGGGTTCGAATCCCGCTCGTGACACTAACTTTTTCATATCAACCAAAAACCTTACATAAAAAGATTAATTAATTGAAAGAAGTAATTTGGTCAATCGGACCACGAAATATAATGGGTATGTTTAACGTTAAAATTGTTTTGGCCGTTTTTGAATTATAGCCGTTTCAATCAGATATTATGATAACGACTGCACAAAAATCAGAAAAATTTTAGGACTCAAAAAATAATAAATTTAAATTAAAACAAAAATTTGTATTCTAAATCCACAATTTATTTCTAAAGGTGCTAAAACGAAATTTTATATTAGTTTCAAGAGACAAAAGTTATGACCTAGTTTACTTGAAAAATATTGGATTTTTAGAAATTTTTTGGTTACTGATAAACTTTGACAGCTTTTATTATATATTTATTGCTATCTATGTAAAAAATGATGAAAAATGATATATTCAGATAGTTGNATAAATTGTAGCAATTGTCTGATGATCTATCCGTCAGGTTTTTCGTACGAACAGTCATAAAGAAAGGTTTTGACGAAAAATCCCCGTTAGGTGTCGCAGACCCATCGTCCGCTCACTCTACAATACCTTTTGGTAAATTAATCCCCGTTAAAGAGTCTGGACTTTGGGGGGATTCGAACCCAGAACGGCTAGCGTTGAAAAGACGAGTTTGACACCCTAAAGACCACCCTCGTGGTTAAAAACACAGAGATTATGATGATTCCATTATAGAAATCATCATGTTTATCATAATTCCCGATTATCCAATGCGTGGAATATGTACATATATGCATTTTTAGTCACATATGTAAAAAAAAATTCTTCGAATGATTTAAAATGTCTTGAATCGTGTAAAACTATTTTAAAATCAAGGGATCAAGGAATTTGAAATCAGGGAGAAATATTTAAAAAAATGAAACTCCTTTTATTGATAATCACAATCAAATTAATTAATTCTGGCATGACAATGATACTGTCAACGGTCATGCTAAACCATTATTTGACCCTGATAACAAATAATATTCAAATGAAATCATCAGTGCAAAAATTCACTATTTCTATTAAAATTTTGTACTATTTATTGTATCTATCTTCTTAACTTTGATCTTTGGGAAATTTCGATCAACAAAATTGTTATAAAAATGTACGACGTAATTTATCCTGATAACGACAATAATAAATAGCAATATCAAATTGTTGCCATATGAAAAAAAATATCATTGGAAAAATAAAGGTTTGTCATTTGAAATGCTTTCTTGCTCCAATAAAAAAAAAATCTTCCGATTTTCGTCAATCTAATTATTTGATGCAATGTTAACATACAAATTAATTCTTTCAATTAATTAATCTTTTTATGAAAGGGTTTTCGTTGAAATGAACCACCAACTACCCAATCTCAACCTACAACCTTTCAAATTTTCCCTCCCTTTTACCATTTTTCAAGTTGGTGTCCGAGTGGATCGAAGTCAAGATAGCTCACGTGGTAGAGCAGCGGCGTATTGAGCCGAAAGCCGTGGGTTCGAATCCCGATCGTCGCACCAACTTTTTCATTTCATCCAAATGAAATACCTTCCATAAAAAGATTAATTAATTAAAGAAGTAATTTGGTCAATAGACCACTAAATATAATGGATTTAACACAAATTAATTAGTCTTCTTGTAAATCATTCTGCCAGTGATAATAACGCTCTGAAAAATCAGATTTAATCAGTAATTGTCTTTTAAAACTAATAAATAGTTTTAAAAATAACAATACTTATAAAAGTTTCTAATTTGATAAGCATTGGTTCACATACAAATAAAAGAAAGTATGTCATCATGTTTTTAAACATATTCCTAATAAGTAAGACAAATGACAAAACCTATATGAACAATTGTCCTTCTATTTTCTTGTACATATAAAATAGAAATGGTTTGTAATTGTTCTGAATATGGTGTTTAGGGACCGTTAGTTAATGATTATTTGGAGATCGTGAGATGCTGTCTGGTGTGACGTAGGTTTTAGAAAAACTTTTTTTTATCGTGCGAACGTTTCGATCTTTATTGAGATCATCTTCAGGGCTCAAAGTGTTTGTTTTCTGTGTAGATGTGTCATTCTTGTGTGTCGTGTTCAGAGTGACACATGTTGTGAGTGTTGAGTGTTGACTCTAAACAGGACACACAACAATGACACATCTACACAGAAAACCAACACTTTGAACTCTGAAGATGATCTCAATAAAGATCGAAACGTTGGCACGATAAAGAAAATGTTTTTCTAAAATCTACGTCACACCGAACTCTGAAGATGATCTCAATAAAGATCAAAATGTTGGCACGATAAAGAAAATGTTATTCTAAAATCTACGTCACACCAGACCGCATCTCACGATCTCCAAATAATCGTTCTGAATATGATTGGTACAAATCATTTTTGAACGATGTTTAATAAAAAGTACTTGTGACGTTTTCCCACTAAAATGTTAACGATTATCGTCAAATTTAATAAATCCACCTTGTAAATCATTTGGACAACTTGAACGATATATAAAAAAATTAAATGCTTAGATATGTGACGCCATATAAAAGTTATTGCGAATAGTATTCGTTGATTATATAAGTACGCGTGAAGCTGTTGATTTTAAAAAGAGCTACCATGTCAAGGCCACCCGCCTACCAAGTTTATTTAAAATGCTTACGATGCGGAAGAGAATCGGCCGAAAGAAGTGCCAGCAGGAGGTGAGGGCCATCGAGATTTCACAAAAACCAATAATTTATCTGTTACGACTTGATGATAATAATCGGCGTTTAAAGATTTTTTTAAATAATAGTGACGGTATTGTGGTAAACGTACAGATTTCCCCTATTGTGATCGTGCTGAAAAGGAAATGTGAAATTTAGTCAGCTGCCTTGTTTCCTTTCAAAAGGCTCAATTTAGGGCAGAAAGGTGTACAATAGGGTATTCATTAGTATTGACCGGGCTGGGACATTCCGATATTACCTGAATATCGATACGCACCTGGTTTTATATAAACATCAAAGGAATAATTTTGATTGATGTAAAAAAAATTCATACCTCCAAAAAAAAGTTAAATAATCCTCATGATCCTGCACTGTGGTGATTGGTCGATAAACAACTGCACGGAGGTACACTATGATTCAATGATTTTTGTATATGATTTTTTCCCGCAGTATATACGACGAAAGCCGGCGAAAGGAGAGCGCCTAAGGTTCTCGTTCATCAGCGGTTAGGATTATACTAACGACACGAAGGTCCTGGCCGGGCAGTAAGGCCTGGAGGGGAGGATGACTGCCCCGGTTGCGCTTGCCAGAACCAAACTGATTTGTCAGAATGGACGATTTTATTCAATTTTGATAAAAATATAACACGAAGAATACTAAGGGGGAACCCACACAAAAAATCCTCAAGGGATCGCAAGATGTCCTTTTATTCCACCAATCTTCTAAATCAATTAAAATTAAAACATAATTCGTTCTGATTTGTAATAAGCAAAAAAGTGTTTTTTGATAAGATAGCACAAGATAATACTAAAAGTTTCCTGAATCTAATATTGATTGCTTAAATGGATCGACCTGCATCAAAGACCACATTCCGTATCATATCTGCATCTTTCTCGATCACTAAAGAATTATTAATTCTATTTTTGATTTGACTTTAAATATCACACCGTTAAGAAGATTAAGTACAGTATTTAATATGGCACCAGCAACGATCCATTTTAGCCATGAAAATCAAATAACGTTAAAGTAATATAATTCATTATTATTTGGAGGTCGTGAGATGCAGTCTAGTGTGACGAAGGTTTTAGAAAAACATTTTCTTTATCGTGCCAACGTTTCGATCTTTATTGAGATCATCTTCAGGGCTCAAAGTGTTTGTTTTCTGCGTAATTGTGTCAAGCTTGTCTGTCGTGAGGGTGCCCAGACAAGAATGACACATCTACACGGAAAACAAATAATTTTAGCTCTGAAGATGAACTCAATAAATTTCGAAACGTTGGCACAATAAAGAAAATGTCCTCAAGTAACTAACTATTATGTTAAATTTTGTCTTTATTCTTGGCAGTTCAAAGTTATCATCGTAAATTTTTTTGTTTACTTTTAGATTATATAACTAACATTTGCCAATCTCAGTATGTAAATCTTTGTATGTAGGGTTGAAATGAAAAAGTTAGTGTCAAGAAAGGGATTCGAACTCACGACTTTCGGCTCAATACGTCGCTGCTCTAACCGCTTGACCTATCGTCACATCGATCCACTCGGACACCAACTCCCCATCTGAACCTATAACCTTTCGAATTTGCCCTCCTTTTTGCCATTTTTTGGTGTACCAGTGGATTTTGACCTTTGGGTCGTGGGTTCGAATCCCGCTCGTGACACTTTTTCATTTCAACCAAAACCCTACGTAAAAAGATACTAAAATTTCCAAATGTTAGTTATATAATCTAAAAGTAAACAAAAAAAATTACGATAATAATTTAATGAACTTGATTAATTGAAAGAAGTAATTTGGTCAATCAGACTACTAAATATAATGAACTTATTATACAAATACCTACTAAAGTTTGCATGCTTTCCATTTCCTCTGAACGGAATATAATGTGTAACAAATTATTTAAATTAGAAACAATTGGTTACCTAATAAATTATTGCTAAACTAAGTAAATGATCAATTAAATTAATTATTTATCTTTTAAGATAAATTAAAAGATAATGATTATTTGGAGATCGTGAGATGTGGTCTGGTGTGACGTAGGTTTGTGATCACACCGAGAAATTTTAGAGATTTTAGATGCTAAAATTTCTAGCATTGTATAAATTCACTTTTTTTTACAATCTACATGTATTTGTATAATTTAAACAATGTTTATAAATCCCAGGCTCTGAAGATGATCTCAATAAAGATCAAAACATTGGCACGACAAAGAAAATGTTTTTCTGAAACCTACGTCACACCAGACCGCATCTCACGATCTCCAAATAATCATTAATTATCGGTCACTAAACACCACACATTAAAAGATAAAGATTAGTACACATAGTAATTTGACGACAATAATAAAAAAAATTCATTTTAAAAATGGAGAATATCAAAGATCTCAAATCAAGGCCAAAGCTCGTCTTGAATTAAGCACGCGTAGATAGAAGTGGGCTTAGTATTCACCCAAGTTTGACACCACTGGGAAAAATTTTAGCCATTCGCCAGTACATGGTAATGAATTATTTTAAAGGTGTAAAGGTTTATAGTAAATTTAAGACGATTGAGATCAACTTTTTAAAAAAATTTTTTTGCACACCTGCGTCAATCATTAAGTAAATTTAAATTGGTTTAAATTACGCACTACATGTACAAAAGGGAAAATACTTAATAATAGTTATTCCTGTGCATTGGCGTTAATCAGTCGGTCACTTATTATTATTAGGTCCAGAGTATTGCGACGCTTTATCATGAAGGTATATGTTCAAAAGGGTCATTGTTTGTAAAACTTCTTGAAGCTGTTTAGGTTACTTGATGTTTGATGTTTAGGCTACTTGATGTTCATATTAGATAATAATGTGCATGGTAAGACTGAATGAAAAGAAAGGAGAATTGACGATGGTTTGGAGGATTTTGGATTCCCTGGAGGTTTGAACGTTCAGTAGACCCCAAAGTTCGATCCATAAGTCCAAATGGTTATGCAAATGAGTTGTTGGTTTTGTAGGGTTTTGATTTCTTGTCCTTGTGTAAAGTCGCTTGTGTAAGTTCCATATAAGTCGTTTGTTAATGTACAGTCAAGTTAGTGTCAAACGAGAGCAGTCCTTATTCTTCGAAGTGTCAAACTTTCATGTTTACATTTTTGTTCATTTAATGCCATTTGTCACCGCTTGAACCTTTGCTCAAGGGATAATACATGGGTTTGCATGTAGCTGATCGACGGTAACTTTTAGATTTTGTAGATCAGCATAGATGGTTAGGATCCGATAAGATGATGTTGATGTGATGGAATGTTTGCAGGTTATATTGTGGCTCTAAAGAGATTCGCACTGGAAATATGTCCATTGGGTAATGAACCAAAGTGAAGTAATGAATTTTCCAATGGAATTTCTTCATTTTCTCGATGTTCCCAGATTATCGTCACATATTCTAGATTGAAAAATTGGTGTGCATGAAGAGATGTTTTTGATGAGGGAAAAACATCACCGAGTTGACTTTGTCCTTTCTTCTTTTTCTTTTTTGGTTCTGTTCATTGTGAATATGGAAAAATCCTGCCCATTTTACATGGCAACGCGCTAATGCACCCATCACGGATGACTGGAAATTATTTCGCCAGCAACTCAGTCATGCTCATCTACCGCCGACAATATTTTGTCATATTAAGAAATGTTCACGTAGCAGAAAATGTCGAGAATGTAAGGATTTCGTAATATTTGGAGTTTTATAATACGTTCGCCAGAATAATATGGATACAGACGTTTTGATGACTTTGTGAAGCACAGTAAAACGTAGAAAACAAAAGATAGATATAGAGGTAAAGAGAAAAAGAAAATGTGGTAAAGACAGATAGAAAAAAATTGTATTTTCCAGTTCACCCATTTTCAAAAAATAGAAGTGAGAAGGGGAGGGAGAGAAAAAGAAAAAGAGAGAGAGAGGGAGATATAGAGAGGGAGAGGGTGAAAGTGGGAGAGAGAGAAAGAGAGAGTGAGAGGGAGAGAGAGAGTGAAAGTGGGAGAGAGAGTGAGAGGGAGAGTGAGTGAGAGAGGGTGAGAGAGTGAGTGAGAGGGAGAGAGAGAGAGAGAGTGAAAGTGGGAGAGAAAGAAAGAGTGAGAGAGAGTGAAAGTGGGGGAGAGAGAAAGGGTGAGAGAGAGGAGGGAGAGAGAGTAAGAAAGTGCGGTAAAAACAGATAGAAAAAAATTGTATGTTCCAGTTCACCCGTTTAAAAAAAAAAAGTAGTGAGAGGGGGAGAGAGAGAGAAAGCGAGAGAGAGAGAGAGGGAGAAAGAGAGAGAGAGAGGGAGAAAGAGAGAGAGAGGGATTAGTTTATCAAAAGCCGTTAGCACACCGTTCTTGCTCATTCTATTTTGGGAAAAACCAGAAAATGCTTTGCCCAATTTCACACCACATGACAAAATTGACAGTAAACGTGTGCCAACTTTGGTTTTTGGTGAATTAGAAATATATTTAAAAATTTCAAACGGACCGGTTAAGTTTTAAACAGCCCACGCTCAGGACGACCACGACATTTCGCCTAAACGGAAGAACGCCAACACCAATATGTAATTGGGCAGGATCCCACCATTTCGAGTTTTGTAGAGGCAGACAAAATGGCAAATATTTATTCACAGTCAATACTACAATGAATATAAAGCGCAGTTACAATCAACAAAACTATTATTTATCACAAACCCATTACATTTTCCAAATGTAACTAACAGGCAGGTACTGCCGATAACCAGCAAGGCTATGATAGAATAACACATTGCATTATAATATCTTTTTAGGTAGTAGTTCATCGAAGAAGCATCATTGCTCAATTCTTTTCACAACAAACATTATCTGCCAAAAACTATGAAGTGAGCATGTGCTGAGAAGAAATTGATATTGTACTGTATTATTTATTACACAGTATTATACAGCTGCCATGATTTCGACTCTATATTTGACTCACTCAGATTCTTGTTCTATGTCGTTGTAGAAAGGCATGTCCAGTACTAACCAAGCAATTTGCGAAGTTCTTCCGTTATCGAGCAACTTCGGTTATACTTTGGTTTAGGATCGTTGTATATGTGATCCTTCAAGTAATCCAGTACTGTATTATACAGTTGAAGACCACAAGGGAAAATGAGTTAGCTGACATTGTTATCGAAAATGGGATGACGGTTTCTTATAGATTGAAGGTTGGCGAATACGTTGGCGATCTCAAAACAGGGGAAAAGTGAGTTAAAATGGTCGAAATAAGCGTTTGAAAAGAACGTACAGGGGAAGAATGCAAGTAAGATTTTTATTTATTTTATTAGTAAACCTATAAGATAGGTAGGTACTTGTAGCACCATCGATGTTGACTATCTTGTGTTGTTTGGTTACAGACCGATTAGCTATCTCTCGTGAGACGTATAATGACCTACAACTACCTTTTTTTTTTGCATCCAGGGCCGCTGGATTCGAACCCGGGACCTTTACCATACAGTGATGAGCGCCGTGTCAAAGACTAAACCTTGCAGCCATCGACGCCCCCCTACCTTTGATTACCTACCTACTTTTTTTACGTTTGATAA